CCCCAAAACCCCAAAACCCCAAAACCCCAAAACCCCATCATTTATTTTATTTATTGAATGATACTACTGTCACTTCATGCTTATTTTTAATGAAAGCTTGACTATTTATTGCGCTGAGGAGATGCTGCTACACTTGCTGGTGTCTTGAAAAAGACTCTACCTCTTTGACCTAAAAATTGTCTTCTTTTCTCTGTTCAATCTACTGAGGATTGGATGGCATTTTCCAGATCTTTATAAGCAAGTTGTTCTAATCTCTGGCTGTTTCTTAATCTTTCTAATATTTCTTTTTCTTCTTTCTCCATAGCACTAATCTCTCTACTAACTTGTTCTGATATCTTTTGCTGGTCTTCTAGTCTCATCGAGTAATGTATTTGACATTGCTTCTTCCTGTCTTCATTTCTATTTGCGTAGCTTTTGCTGAACTCTATTTTCTTCAAGTCGTATTCTATCTCTTTTAATTCTATTTTCTTTCATTTCCTTCTTCTTTCATTTGTTTTTATACAAGAGTGCAAAATTTGTTTCATCCCTACATTGATGATAACTTTTCACCCGGTCAGCAAGGTTCTGCTGCCACTTGCTTCGATATGTAAGCTTGTTTAGCTCCCTGACTTTTCTGACTCTGGCTTGCTTTCTTTGAGTCTGCAATATATCTTGTTTCTCTTTATGCATTCTGTCTTTAAATCTTTTCTGGTTTCTTTCTCTTATTTCGAGAATAGTCTGAGCTTTATGTTTAGTTTTCTTGATCTTATTGGTTAATTTCTCTTCCTCTTTCTTCAGCATGATTAGTCTATTACTAAGGAGTACCCTATCATGAAGCAGAAATGAGTTTTCTTTCTTAACATCTAGTAAAGAGAGAGAATTCTTTCCAGAAAGAGCTTGATCTTCTTGGCTAAAATCTCGAGGAGTTGGCTTTAGAGTAGTGTTATTCTGCTTGTTTTATGAGGCCCGATTGACGAAGGATTAGAACCTTTTCGGAACTTATTTAGGCGAAGACATGTCTTTTCTGTGGTCAGAGCCTGAGCTAGGAAGAGATTGACGTGATTTTGGAGATTGTGAGGAGTTCATTTTAAGAGTTTATAAGACAATTTTGCTTGATTTTAGAGGGGTTTTGGGGTTTTGGGGTTTTGGGGTTTTGGGG